CTTTCACTTTGTAGATTGCCAAATTAAATGATTTCTATTAACTGCTGATATTATTATTGCTGTTGTTAGTTTCCTCACGTGTACCGAATTCGTGTAAACGTGGTTTCTTTGACGGCGGTGAGGGCTGCCAGGAACTTTGCCAGAGGTGTTGGCTTGATTCACCGCATCAGGTCTAACCGTAACCTCGATATCAGCGAGTTTGCGTTCATAGTCCGCGATCGAGCGATTTTGTCGCACGATGACCGCGCTCCATCGCTAAGCGCTAGATCACTGCAGAGTTTGAAATAAGTTTTGTTCTGACTGTGAAATTAGCAGTTGAAGCGGTCCAACGATCAATGGTGGAGCGCGGTCAGTTGCGAAGTATGTACGCAGCCTGGAACAAAATCTCTCCCGTCCAGTGTCTTGTATAGAAGTTACATCCACATCACAGCACAAGCTAGCTAGTAATTTCCGGCCAGTTGACTTGTCATTCCGTGACATTTCCATGTAAAACCAATTAGGTCCTGCTGCGAATGCCGAGCTCCTTGCAGCGTTGCTTCTCCTCGTCACCATAGCGCACCGCGATGGCGTACCACACTATTCCGAAGTTCGCTGCTTGCTAGACGTCTTTGGGAGGTTTAAAATATCTGTTTGAACATATGCGGAGTATGCTTAAACACTGTATGCGTCAATGTATACAGTGAGTGTCGTCGCAACCAGTCGGTGGGTGTCAGGAGGGGCGGAATGAGCCAGCCTCCGACGTTTTCTACCACTGGTTGCTTTCTTCCTGAATCGATCTCTAAGAGGTCACTATTGGCAGAAAATACAGCCGGGGCGGACCCATTCCTGCGGCTCTCAACATCGCCCCCACACCTTCCTACCTTCTGGGCGGCGTGTGAGGAGCTGGATATCCGCGTTGTGACAACTTGGCGGAGCGATTTGTGTGCGCAATATGCACGGCAAGATTTCCACAGCTTCTCCCTTGAAGTGGGGGGGGGAACGTAGCTGCATGGCAATATTGCCGAGCTTTAGTGGCATTTTTTTAGGGTAATTGTCTTCGGGTAGAGAAGAGAAAGCTATTATATAACCAAATCAAAAATCAAATCAGAGACTGACTTCATCTGCCATAGTACGAGAAGGTAATCGAACATGTGGATGGAAGTTCTCTAGAGAAGTGGCCCGCTAGCACGCACGCGGATCCGTAGTCAAATCTTGGATCGGCTCGCGTTGAAGCCAACCGAACCTCCGCTTTACTTATGATAAAATATACCGGACTTGTCTGGGAGAAAAAGAACCGTTTCGTTGATCGACTGACCACCACTCACCCCCCCCCCCCCACGGTGATTGTGCACGCGACATTGTAGTCAGCCTCTACGATACTGAATAGGAGTACAATTTATGTTTCCCCACACCAAATAGGGATCGATCAATAGGGGAGCTTCGTTGACTGAACATGTATTTCAACGTATTGTACTGACGGAAAATGTTTTTAGTGCTACCCATCTTTTTTTCGGGAATTTTTCGTCGAAATTTTCGTGCCAATTTTCGCGGGCATGTTTCTGTTCTTTCCAGGAAAAGGATTTTCAACCATTAGTGTTCCGTCCCCTAGGACGAATTTGGAAAAGAGCTCTGCTCTTCTTGAAGGCTGTGATGATGATGAACCAAAGGTGGGTCTTATCTGACATCCTCTGTTTGAGGTTTCTGGTTTGTTCACCAGCGTTGCTTATGTTTATCATTTTCACAAGTTAAGGCGGTTTCATTGCACAGCGAAGCCACAGGGTACAGTTCTGTTCACTTGCGGATGATGGGGCGTGTTAAGGGGATGAATTCTGGCGCGGTTTTCTTCCTTTTTCCGCTCGGCAAGCGACAACTCTCTCATGTCGTTCGCATCAGTCGTTTTCCACCAGTTTTTGTGCTTCCCCTCTTCAACAACTGGTGGAGAATGAGCTAGTGGCGCACCAAACCCAGCCTCTTTGACACGCCCCTTCATTCGAAATGAGCAAGACTGTAGAAAAAGTTAATGATCAGAGCCACAGAAGAAATCTTCATTTTCAGTTTCAAATAGACTCTAAGAAAATGGCTTCTATGCTGAAAGGTGACCCAAGAGTGTGCGTTGCAATTATTTCCTTGAGCGCTGGCGTTTTTCCTAAGAATTACTTTTACAGGAACTGTTCATGAAGAATTATGAACGAGACTGTGTGAAGAATTCAGCCGAAGCTGCAGAAAAGGTGAATCTTGACCCTCTTCAAGCATTTCATCGACATTCTTATAAAGTTTTGGTTTTCGAAAATAGGTTAGTGAGCTGGTGCAACAGAAGAAAATAAAGAAACTCCACCCACAATCGGTACGCATATCAATACCAATGTTAGAGGAGTCGCTTGCAAAGCTGCCCGAGGTAAGGTTTGGTTGAGCAACGGTCAACTCTTCATGGGTCACCCTTTATGATCTCGTAAGAATGAGCCCATTTCTGGTTTTGGTTTTCAGTTTGTAATTTTTTTGTATTAGGCAGCGTTCAGACTTCGCGACAGCAGCCTTCGGTCGCGCGTTCGACGCGATCAATGCAGTCGAAAGCATGCGCATCGATCGCATCAAACGCGCGACCGACGCGCTGCCGTCGCGTAGTCTGAACGCTGCCTTAGTAAGCAAGTTAGAAGGGAATTCAGGAATGTCCACTGCGCAATATTCCTAGTGAGGTTCTTATACGCATCATAAAACTGCTACCGATGACGTCTATCCTCTCGCTGGCTACGACATGTAGAACCTTCAACGAAATCATCAACGAGCAGCGCAACGGTATCAAGGACACGTTCAAGATCTCTATCGATTTCGTGAGTGCTTCTACAGTTTTATACAGCGCGAAAACGCGATGGATCTAGAGCGTGCATTTGCGCAGCGATATCTATGGCGACGAACAAGACAATCGCAATTCGTCGCATCGCCTCGCTTGAAGTCCGCGACTTATTGTGCGGCCATGCGCGGCAAATTATGGTTGTGAATAAGTTTGTCGATTGGAGCAGCGAAGCTGTTGAATTCAAGCGAATACAAGAGTTCATGACGGGTTTCATGACGGTCTCCCATCTCTTTGACACTCACATTCAAAGTGCTAGGCAGGACAGTTCATGTGTCGGGCGCGACGTCGCTCGCCACGCCCATTACTGCAACAGTTCACGGTGTCTTGTCGAACATCCGGGACACACAAGCCGTCCGCTTTATGACCGATTGCTCCGTTATCACGTAATGTGGCTGCAACTCATTGAATGTTAGAGGTTAGGTTAACTTTGCGGTACCGGTTTTGAAGACGCGCTGAGCGCTCACCTTCGAGGATTCCGGCCCTTCCATTGTGCGTGGTGGACGGGTTCCCAGCTGTAGAAGTGTGCCACGGCGCAGCTCGGCGACGGGGTGGGGGCATTTCGTACTTTTGCCACTTACCATTGACGTGTCGACCTATCTAAGCAACCTCTTCTCGAGTTGACAAGTCCATAATATCTTGACGACCTTGCTCCAGTTTCACAAGAGTCCACAGGTTTCGCCATAGTGAGACTTGTATACCGGAACTAAATAAGCAGTGACAGTACAAAATGCCCTCCCCTCCGTCGCCGAACTGCGCCATTCTTTTGCAACTCGAATAGCGCTGAAATGAGGATGCAAGGTGAAGATAGCCGCACGTCTCTCTAGACTCCATCCGCTGATAAAGCACGCAGTCACGCGCCAAGACACATTGCCATGCCTACGCCCAACCATAACCAGAAACGCTAGTTGCCTGCGGCTCCTCTCGTTTGTTGTGCTCTACACTTGACTGCTAGAGGTAGCTTGTTAATGTTGATCGCTGCGGGTGCCACGGAAGGAATGCAAGTACCGCACGTGATGGATAGCAGGTGGAGTCCAAAACAGTAGTCAGCTATCGTAGCCCTTCGGCTCAAAGTCCGCGCACTTTCGAGGGATGTGAGTTTTACGGCTGCGAACCTGTTCACCCGTCATGGTAAGGATCCATCTTGCAGGTAAGCATGCAGCGAATATTGAACTAGCTGAACTAGCTTTTCTTTGCTTCTAATTAGCTAGTATTTTGTAGCTAGTTGCCCCAACGCACTGCAGCGTTTCTACATCAAAGCAAAGGTTACCTGACATCTTGAACTTTTGTGCATGGTCCTGTTACGATCCCCTGTGACGCAGACGCATAGAGAGCAGCGGCTGCCAAAGCATCGAAACGTACAAAAAACCTATGGCGAGCCAGGAAACGGGGGGGGGTGAGCTACTTGTAGTCGGTGAAAAGCTGGAGTGATTGAGTCACAACGCCATAGAGTACCATGCGGACGAGAGAGTGCAGAGAAGGAAGAAGATCGACGCGTTCAAAGGGATTAAGTTCAAGTAGTCCATAGACCCAAACCAAACCGCTATCGTAACCCTTCAGCTCAACTCTACGTACTTGCGAGGGATGGGAGCTTTACGGCTGCGGATCTGCTCACCTCTCACATGGCAGGGATCCATCTTGTAGGTAAGCGGTTCCAACCAGACGGGTTCTCGAGGGTCCAGGGGTATTTTCTCATGCCATCTATTAGCCCTGTAGTTGAAGTACCAAGATAAAGGAGGAGGGAACAGAGAACGAAGGAAGGAACGAAAAGAAGGGAGGAGAACGAAAAAGGATGAAGAAGAGAGGCTTCGCCGTTGAAAAGTGCCCTGTTGAAAAGTGCCCTGAGACGTCAAACCAATCAGCTCTTGGTGCAAATGCCGCTGACCACGCTTGCAACGCTGCCTTTGATGCGCCGTCGCACTATGAATCCAATTTCCTACTTCTCAGCTAATTCAATGGCGACACCTGTAGACCACAGACATGGAAGTATTACCCTCGCAGTATTATGTATTAGTAATTCAGTAAATGTGATCCATACGTCAAACATTGATTTCAGCATGAATTTCGTGAAAATCGAAAGATTTTGGCGAGTGTAAAGCGAAATTCTGGAGATCGCGTGAGTTCTATTGAACGATACTGGCACTGCTCTCGAGTTGCTGTCGACAACGATCTGGAGTGAGTTTATTTATTCGTACAACATTTAGGTAAGGCAGCGTTCAGACTATGCGCGACAGCAGTCGCTTCGGTCTGCAGCGTTACGAGTGCGATTCAAAGTGCGGATCGATCGCGTCGAACGCGCGACCGTAGCGCCGCCGTCGCGAAGTCTGAACGCTGCCTAATTCACTGAACTGTTTGTTACTTGATGGTCCAAGAATGTAGCATGGGCTTCCTATAGAATGCTCTTGACGTGGTTTCCGATGGTAAGAAAGTTCTTACAAGAGAGCGAATGTGAAAGAGAGGGCAGAGGTATTGGTGCAGTTCTGACCTCAACCTAAGTATACCGGTGTACCCTTTTTCCTAAGCGGTAAAGCTCTTGTGGGCAAATAATGACTCTGAACTGGAAAGGTGATTAACAGTGTGGAATCTCGACGTCGAAGGTCCACATTCAGAAGCTGTTTCTGGTTTAGAAGTCTAAAAAAGGTAGGCATTAAACAAACCAATCCTAGACTAATTTTTTTCCTTCTTGTTGCTCCCATATTCTTACCTGCCAATGGAGTTAAGGAAGGGAGACTACGCCTCTCAGCTCGATAGTGTCCGCACTTATTATGGCTTTGGCTGATGAGTCTTTCCCTGGAAGACGCAGGCGAGCGAAGAATAGACACGGCTAAGTTCTGCCCAGTGTCTCGATCAATTGTTTGAGCACTGTAACCAGGGTACAGCATCGTGATGTGTGAAATGGTGATGTAGGTACGACCCCCTCCGATCTCCTTCTAAATGGGTCTCGGTGCGACCCCTTACCCCAACGCCTATCTACCAATTTCCTATATTTTCCAGTTTTTTCACCCAAAGATTTTCCGTTGAGTGGGGAGTATATAGCCAATGTGAAATGGGAGAATTTGGGAATTCCTTAGATTTTTCCAATTTTCCCCGATTTCCTACCACTTTTCCGGAATTTCCCGAAAGTTTTCCTATTTTTCCCCGAAAATTTTGCTTTAGGGTAGATAGTAAACATGAAACAGGAAGAATCACGCGAAAAGTCAACAACCAGGAAAAATTTTTTTCTCAACGCAGCAAATTGCTCTTAAAGCCACATACGACCTCCCCTCTCCCAACGACCCTCCTTCCCCCGCGGAAAAGCACGAACCCCTATGTGTTCCACACAACGATGCTGTTCCCTTCCTTTAACCTCCATAATGCTGAAATATTCGGAAGTGGTATTTACGCGCTCCAATCAATGCGTAGAGGGTCCTTCCGAAGTACCTCTGCTTCTTAGCAGCTTTCAGCACGAAGTTGGGACCAACGTGCCCATTCGAATGGATCTGTCAGAAGCACAGGAGAAAATTTGTCCAAATTCCAGATATTTCTTGAAAATTTCGAATCGTTGAAAAATTAAGCTAAAGCTTTTAACTTTGAACGTTTTAGCCATATGTTATTTACTTATGTTATGCAATAATACGTGTGGGTCAAGAGATTCGAGTGGGCGGTGGCACGCAGAAACTCGATCAGCGATATTTTCTAACTGGTTGTCGGACTTCACTGCGCTGCCCCGGCGCTGCCTGCACGCCTAACCGTAACCGAACGCACTACTTACATACGACCTCTCTTTTCTCGTTCTCTACCTGGTTTAATCAGCTGACTCGTCTTTTGCGTCAGTATAAGTGTGGAGCGATTGTCGCGCAGTTTACGTTATGTGCAAAATCGATTTCGCAGCACCGCAGCTATTCGGATCTCCTGACCCTCACCCTGCATTGTTCAACTTATTTGCTGTTTCAGTGATGCTATGTTCAAATTGCGATGTTCACCAGAAGGTGTAATATGGGTTGCTAACATTCTTGCCGCCCTATTGGTAAACTCCCACGCGAGTGTAGTCGAATTCATCGGGGTACGTTCAGGTTTAAACACTTTCTGGCACCATTTCATCCGGAGATGGGAAGCGGGGGGGCTATACTTCGTTCGGAATATCGCGGCTACTTCGCTTTGGTGGGAAATAGCCGTTCTGGAAATAGCCGTTCTGGGGCAAATGTGACCGTGTCTGCATGAACCCAACGGCTTTCTGTTGATGCCTATCTGTTCAGGATCATGGAGTTCTATTCGATCATGCAGTCAGCTTTCTAAGTCTTGTCGGTCGCCGTGCACCATATCATGTTGATAAGCTATCATTTGGTCTTTCAACGCAAAATGTGTCATATATTTATTATTGTAAATTTTGGACCAACCTGTTACAACCAAGAACGGTCAGTCAGTTACTTGTATCTGCGCGAGTAATAATTTCTATAAAAAGTTCAGTTCTGCACTGAGCTGACAGTGTACAGTCGTCATCCGGGCAGTTGATTAGGCGGCCAAGGGTCGCGACGCGGCTGCGGTGTGTCACGACCGCGGCGATCAGCTGTTTCCAGCCTATTTAGCCATTTTCTCCCTAATTTTCAGTGTATTATTTATTTTTTTCCAAGGTAGGTTGTTTATTGTCTTCATGAAGTATAGGGACGTGTATTATTTTTTTGTTTTTATAGTGAAGTGTTTTTGCGATTTTTTTTTCGGTATTTGTTCAATTTTTTATTTAATTAGTTGATTGTTAGAGAAATCTCAATTATGATTTACCTTGTGAAGAAAAGGCACAACAAAGAAAAGCAGCCAAAAACAGTGAAAATTGGGAAAATGGCCAAATAGGCTGGAAACAGCTGATCGCCGCGGTCGTGACGCGCCGCAGCCTGCGTCTGCGACCCTTTGACCGCCTAATCAACTGCCCGGATGACGACTGCAGGTAAAGAACTATAGTTTCCAAAGAATTTTTGGAAACGGTCAACAAGTTCCAAAGAACTTTTGGAAACGGTCAACAAGTAAGATAGGTATAGTGATAATAACTCTCTAAAGGAGATGGATTCCAAAAGGGTGGTTCAATTCCTATGCCGCATAGTTACTTAGACGAAAACAACACGATGCGTTGAGAATCCCCTGCTAGGGGGTCGTATCTGGTCGAAGGAGGGAGGGAGGAGGGTCATACTTGCTTTGAAAAAATGTTTGGTTGTTTACTTTTCGCTTTTCTCGGTCATTCCGCTCTCAAGCGCGCCATATATCCCCCTCTCGACCTCGACGGCCGAAGCAAAAGTGTAAGAACGTTTGGGAGAAAAACTACGCAAATGTAGTACGAAGTCAAGAGATTTTAAGGAGAGTATTTAGGATGGGGTATGAGGATGGGGTGGGGGGGGGGAGTTGGCGTAGCAGAGGAGGAAGTTTTGCGCAGGGCCGTAACTTGCGAAAAATCTCCCTAACGGCAGGACGTGCCTCGGTGGATACCAGGCTGACCGAGTCTTTGAACATTAGCTGAACTATGAAATATGGTCCACTACAGGCGAGGCGGAGGTGGTGTAGTGACGAGTGGCACGCTTACCACTCGCCCGCTTCTGGGTTTAAATCCCGGGTCGACTCCCGCTCAACCAGGTTTTCCACCATTTGGCAACGGTAAACTGCCAGATTACCGTTGCCAAATGGTGGAAGACCTGGTTGAGCGATTGGTACCAGATTCCTTTAAGAGGATAAGAACACTGACTTGACATCGGCTGGCCCCTGCAAATCATTGTATAGGCCACATCGCATTCAGTAAGCCACTTTGATCATGAATGGATGGTAGAATGCCGTGCGCATTCCCATAAAGAGATTGGTCGAAGGCTTATTGAAAGTCCGCGTTGATAGAATGGGTGGAGACTTGTTTCCTACATTGTGTGAGTACAACAGTTGGTGATGCTCCTTCCGTTATGGTTGAGGGAACGGCTTTTCAAAGGAAGGCGCAATGGGTGTGGGTCTCCGCCCAGCCATGAAGCGTGTAAGCCGTGCCTTTGTAGCACCGCTTTGAACAGCTATTGGCGCGGATTGCGGATAGCGTTACATGGGGACATAGGTGACTGTTAGAGGAAAATGACTTCTTGCCATATGTAAAGGCACCTAGTATGTAAAAATGGGTCCGAGGGTGCGTTCGGCTTAGTAGGGAGAGGAGGCGAATTTTTCACATTGCTTATTCATTTTGTTCTTCGATCATCTAACTAGCAGAGCTTGTAAACTCTTGTGGAGCCGTGAAATGGAGCAAATGAGACGTTGAGAAACATTTATTCACAGGATGGCTTGTGCAAGCTGAATACCACTTGGTGACTCCTCCCCCCCCCCCCCCTCCGAGCCGATTTGCGCCTGATTTATCGCAGCCGTTTGTCAGTATCAGTGAGGATCAGCAACATTTTTCAGGTGTTAATCTATTCTCTAGCAGGTGGAGTTAGTATGCAACTAAGCGACTATTATTGGTTGTTAACTCTACAAGTGGATCGGGTCACTATAGTCAACTGTATGAACTTGAGCTCATTTGTGCTGTCTGAAGTGATCAGGGTAAGCCTTCTTCGGCACCGCTGGTAAAACTAGGCAAGAGTGCACATCGTTGTTGGGGAATCCCCAACAGGTGGGGTCGTATTTGGTCGCCGGGAGAGCGGGGGGGGGTTCATACTTGAGCTGAGAGAAATTCATTTTGGTAGTACGGGAGGGTGTATTTTCTCGTTTTTTCGGCCTTGAAATGCGATGACATTTCGTGATTTTCCGGTTGTCACTGCGTGCTATACCACCCCTCCCCCAGGGCATCTGGTCGCAGAAAACGCCTAGAGAGGGAGTCATGGGCTGGGAAAAATTTATTTCGATAGTTGATTTTTCTCGCTTCACGGACGTTGTAAAGGAGGGGGGGGGTCGTACTTGGTCATTGTTGGGAGGGGTTGACTTTTGGTGATTTTCCTGTTTCATGCGTTGCGTGCTATATACCCCCCCCCCCCGCTCGAGAGCGAGAGAGAATTTTGGCGGAAAAATAGGGAAGTTTTGGGAAATTTGGAAAAAGCTGGGGTTGCGGTAAACTTCTGAGAGTTGCGTAATAAGGGGGGGGGGTCGCATTGTCTCCGCCGACTTCTCCCCCCCCCCCCGCCTCCCCCCGCTCGACGGCTCCATGAGAGGGACAGAGCGCCGGAGGGGGTCGTACCCCCCCCCCCCCCAAAAAAAAAAAGGGACGGGGTCCAGACTCGACTAAAATCCCCAACCAATGGTGTGCCCTGCCCCCCCCCCCCTTAACTCTCTCGTTGGTGTGGGAACTAGACGGCCCTTATTTAGTCCTTTTTCAGGAATGGTATTCTGGTAAGCTGAAACATTTACCAAGTATAGATATCACGTTTGCTAAAGATGGAAAGTTTCGAATACCATTTTATACGGAAGATTTGTTGAAGAGAGTGAAATACAAAGTCGGTTTTTGCTTTTTTTTCTGCCTACACGTATCCAGCCCTAAGAAGGATTCAGGCGACATTGTGTCTTTCTTTACTGCGTGCGCCCTTCTTTCTAGCACGTTAATCGCAGGTGGCGAACCAATGCGAAAGGCACAGTGGTATGTCTGACTCCGCCCACATGATCGACGCGGATTATGCCTTTATGTTCTCTGTTTTATTGGAGTCATGATTCCAGATAGTAGAAAATTCTGCTGTGATTGAGCGAAGAATCGATTGCGATATGAAGCAAATCAACAGGGTAAGTCCAGTATTTCACCTGCATATTGAGTTTTGTGCAAGATCACTAGTATATGTTGTTTGTACAAATTTCCAACCACAACAAGAAGGCCTCATGAAATGTTTGATCCCGCCCATTCGGTAAGCGTGGAGCGGCCTTTGAACGAAACTTGCTAGACCTTCTAAGTTTTTGCGTAATTTTTATGCAAGGGAGATGATAAAGAAGCGTTTACGCTCCACTAAATAAGGAACATATTGTGGAAGTGAAAGGTGAAAGAGAGGGGTAACACTACATTTTCTTACTGGTTTCGATAGATCGCCGCGCTAGTTTCGGGTGGGAGGCGGGTGGGGGGGGGTGGTAGGCACAGTTTGTGAGTCTTTCTCCACTCGTTCAGCATATATTTTGCCTTTCAAGCATCGCTTCCAATGACCTTACGAGATATGGTCTGCGAGTGGCGCAAGGAAAGACTTGCGGTGGCGGAAATAGGCCTGTTTGTCTGCGTCCTCTCACCGAGAAAGTGGTCTGTTTTTCCAAGCTCAACCTTGGTAAGCAGAGTGGACGAGAACAGTTTGACTACTCTTCATCGCCCACCCCCTCTCCACCCCCAACTAAACCACACCCTTCTAGCGCTACATTTGAAAACGTTTCAGATATCCAGTGAAGGACGACTTGTAAATACGAGGTATTACTGGGCCGTGAATATGGTAAAGTAACCGTTGTCGTCGGGTAAGTCCTGCTTTGTTCGCTGTTTCAGGCAGTTACAGCTACAGTAATTTCAGGCGCTCAATCGGCCTTCAGCGCTCAAAGAACTGTTTGATATATTCCATTGGATGGCAAACGATACAAGATGCCTCCATGTCTTTCGCTTCTATTATGTGTAATGATCACGTCCTGTCAAAATGCTGCATGTAATGTTGCACTTAGGAAATTTTCGTGGCTGAACCAGTGGGCTGGGGGGGGGAGGGGCATGCCGCGGCGCGACTAAGTTGGTTGCTTGCGCCTTCTCACCGAGAGGAAGATCGCCACACGCAGGAAGAGGCTGGGACAGGCAGGTGCAGGACTGCGTTTCGCGAAAACTTACAGATGCCGACCTTCCCTCATCAATTCTTTTGTACGGCTTCTCCTTTACCCAATTTTCAACCCCTGAGCACTTTTCAGGAATTTCCACTTTTTCCCCAAAAACACTGCCGTCGAGACCATCAGAATGGGCCCAGCTCAGTCTGGCGACGTACCTGCTCATCCCAGCCGTCAAAAATGTCAAAAAGTACCGTACGAGTAAGTGAATGTTGTGAGCTGTTCTATAAGTTGCGCACCGCAAGATCCATCCATGTCCAGCTTATCTGGTGCGTGACTCCTGGGACACTAGCAGTTAGGGCGCAGTATGCCGACGGGGGGGGGCATTCTGCACTTTCGTTGCTTCACTAGTTCTAGTTTACAAGTCTCTGGTGATACCTGTGAACTCTTGTGAAGCCAGAGCAAGCTCGTCAAGCTATCATGGTAAAACCTGTCAACTCGAGAAGAGGCTGCCTAGATGGGTCAATGGGAAGCTCCTTAAAGCTGCAAATGCCCCGTCGGACAAACAGCCTCAAATATATTTCACTTCATTAATGCCCTTTGTCTTTGAAATGCTAGCCGCTATCTTGCTGAGTATCCACTTTATTCGTTTGATGGGTACGATAAGACAGGTTAAGCGACTTTAGAAGAAGTTCACCGGTTTTCCACACGGGACCACATACCGATGTAAATTTGAGTAGTCTGGAAGATTGCTGTTATGGGTAATGAAAGAATATTGTCTGTTGGGTAGGAATTCTTGTTTGCCTTATTTTTTGTGAAAATTTTTTGATTTTTTGCATGTTGAAGATTCCATTGTTGATATGTCCATTGTTATGCCAATGAAGAAAGATTTTACAATTTTTTTGAACCCTCATAATTCTCGAGCGTAATTGCTCTCACGTGAATATGCCTACGTGGACTCGCTATGCTGCTAACACCATGGCGCAACGCAAGTGCTCGCTATCACCGACCGAGCGGTGACAGGAACAGTTTCCTTGCGCGTGATTTCAACACGAGTATCGTCAATAATGTGGCGTACACGTCTGTAATACACGCTAGAACAAATCCGGATTTCGCTAGCACCGTGCCATGTGGCCGGAGTTTGATAGTAGCCCGGAGAACAATCACTCTTGCCCATTGGGATAAATTTATGACGTTGCTTTTCAAAACATAACATGATTAACGAGCGCACATGAAGCACTGCTGTTCGTTGAACTCCTGAAAAAAATGTGAACTTTTTTCTATTATCCTGAAGTGTGGAATGAATCAGAGTTTTGACCGAAATGTTGAGGAAAAAAGCCATTTCTCCAAGAAATTTGGGCGCAAATCGGCTTGAAGGGGCATTTTGCTGGCTCCATCAGTCACCACTGGTGCCACCTGTGAAGACATGTAAATACTTGCAATGTTTTGCAATAGCTTTGCTAACATTTGGCAGGAGTCTCAACAGGGTAAGACTTGTAAGTTTACAGGAACTAGTAAAAGAAAGCAAAAAAAGTAGAAAAATGGCCACCACCCCCCCCCCCCCATCTACCCTGGCCCGAACAGCGCCGACATTTAAAGGCAGTTGGCACGATAAATCCCTAAAGACGAGTAGGATTAATACGACTGGCATGGCAGAATTCCGTGACCCTGAACAGGCGCTGCGTAGCGCCTTTTCCAAGGAGGGTACCCTTATAGCGCCCTATTGAGCAGCAACATACCGACCCGGACGCCCACCCGCCTACCACTGGACGTATAGCATCACAGCATGAGGACGTGCCGTTGTGGACCGCCCGTGCCTTCGTGTAGTGTAACGTAAAGTGACGTAGAACGTACTGCTGGCTTTTTGCCAGCAGTAAACGGTTCATCGGTAGACTCGTCCAAAGCAGCCCAGCCGTTCGCTCGTCCACTGCCGCAGTGCAGCGAAGAAATAAAGCCCCATCTCGTGGTTTCCCCACCATTTCGCCCCGTTTTTCACTATGTTTGCATTACTGGGCACTTTTGTTCTTTTTCGAAGTGTGCATGGAATTATCGTGCCAACTGCCTTTAATCTTTTCGCCATAGCTCTTGAGTCCTTGTGTTTGTATAGTGTAGGGGAGAATGTGCGTCACGCTGGAAAGCCCAAGCAAGCGGTAGAAAGAAGGGGAGTATTGTTTGGGGGTAAAAATTTGTTTGCCTCCCTTTCAATCTGGACCAATCTACATCAATCAGACCTTACAATTATTACCCTGTTTTCTATTCCTGCAATGGAATGTGGGTTAATCCAATTCCGCCTCCTATGTTCCACTGATATGGAGGAGAAAAATGTTTTTGACAACAGTTATTAATGAGATTTTTCCTTGCCGCATTGTCGGATGCTGAGGCTGTGGTGAAAGTGCGTCCAGCCATCGTCAGAAACGGTCTAGTATCCTTAAACGGTATAGGATGTCCATCAGTTTCATGGAATGATGTACTACGAGGATGAAATTGGCGGAGTTCAGTAGTATACTCGACTGTACTGCAGGACTCCAAAAGGTGTACCGGGCAGGGGTGAGGAGCGCAGGCCCGTATACATGAACCATGGAGCGGCAGCTCCATTATTCGTTGGCCTGAGAACGTTGGAATGGTCCTGTGGCTGGTCATGCGAATAGCCCCGTCCCACTCAAATCACAAAAGCAGCGGATGGGCACAGTTTGGTTTCATGGGGCATCAAATCTACTCAGCTATGTTGGTACAGACAACCTCATAAAGACCTGGCAACTCCTGTTAGCGTAATGGCTCACTCACACAACTTTGCAGCTTTACAGGAGTTTTCAAGTCTGACCAAAGTGAGACCTTGAATTAACATGAAATAACAAAAGAAACTAACGAAAATGCAAAATGCCTCCTCTAAGCCGTCTAGGGACCGCGATGGCATGGGCACATGCTGTGAAGGTCACAGGTTCACTCGACAAGCTCTGATTTTTTAGGTTCAGGGCTAGCGTCATTAAGAAGCTCCTTAAAAAGAACAAGAAGAATTAGGAAGCCCATTGAGAAACCAAGGCCACTGTGGAAGATGCTTCCGTGGCCTCAATATCGTAGACAGCCCCTCTTAATTACAGTAGGGTCCGTTGTACTTGTTAAACGTCATTGCTTTCTCGATAGGAGAAAGTGACGACGTCTAGCAAGAACAGCGGACTCTGCAGAGGCGCGGGAATAATCCCAGCAAGGTGGAAGAAGAAGGAGATGGAGAAAAGCAGAAGAATCCGACCACGAAAATGAAAAGGAATGACGTACTACAAACAGTATTTCCTGACTTGGGAATGGCATACATACCCAACTAAGCGTTTTATTCTAGAAACAACGAACATTTTTTGAAATCCAGTTGTTTTTCTTGAGTAGTCCGAATGCGTGGCTTATCTACAAGGAATTCATTAAGGTTTAGAGTTCAGTTTCGTTTCTCTGAAACTTTGATCATATTTAACGAGGTAAGTGGGCTCCGTCGGCAATCTACGTCGCCGTCTGATTGCTTGGTTGTTTACTTGACGACGATCAAAGAAATTTATGAATCTGATTAAGCACCAGTCGAACTTCCGCCTCATTAGCATAATCTATTCTGCGATTATCAGCTATGTTCTTAGTGGGTATCCTTCTAACTAGTTCTTGAGATTACTGTACTTCTCACTACCTTAATCTTACTGTATTTGTTGGGTTTAGGATGGTCCTTCGCTTCGGGTGTATGCGTCACAGTTTA